CAAAAGTGAGCTACAAGTGCATCATTTGTTGAAATCCAACTCCCATTAGGAATACCAACAGAATAATAATCACGTAATCTTTTAAGATCATCTTGACTAAAGCGAAAAATTTTGGTAGTTAATGAAGACAAATTCTTAAGTGACTTTTGTGCATTTGAAAAAAAATTTTCAGTTGGTTCCATCAAAACATATTCGTCAGGAACATATGTAGAAGTGTTACCACTTCCTTTTAGCAAACTTCGATCATGGATAGGTGGGTCAATCTGTTCTAAACGAGCTCTTAGTCCCCAATTTTTAATAAAAGTAAAAAGACCAGTACCATCCATAATATAATGATGTATGGCAAATCCAAGGGCTACGGAACCATCAACAAAAGTAGTGTGTTGTATTATAGATAGGATTGGATCAATTTCATTAGCTATTGTTCCTGATTGCAATAATCCGTAAGGAATAACCGCATGTTCCCAATTCTTTTCTTCAAGTTGATTGATTGTAATGTCAGAACACTCAGCAATGATAAATTGAACGCCACGATCATTACAGTCGATGATATAACTACCATTGGGCGCACTTTTAAGTGTACCAGCCAGAGGATAATAATCGTTTAACACATCCCCAAGTGATGCTAAAAGTTTTTGAATGTTCATAAAATTATCTTTCTTTAAAACATTTTTAAAAAAATAAATGGGCCCGACATAAACTGGTGGCAAGGTAATATCACAATTAGAAAGCGGAATTTGAACATATTTTGTTGGCCTGGCTGGCTTAACGTAAAGGGTCTCCTTAATTGTGACAGACATTGAGATAGCAGACAAAAATCAAACTTGAATGAATGCTATTCAAAACTTCGAGGTACAGTGCAAAAAATTTAAAATTTCAGTTTTTTTATAGAGATAATACATAACCTAGTACGTAGCACATAAGAACGTACCAGGAAAGGAGTGATATTATAAGGTGTTTTTAGTGATGCATATATGCAAAGTCTCACAACTGATTGGACAGTGCAGGAAATGCAAAAATTGCATCACATAGCATATATTTATTTATATATGTAATATGAGATTCGTTTAGCCATATAACGCACTAGCTTGTATCTTACATATTGCTTTTAACAGGTTTTTACCTCTCTCAAGATATACATCAATCATTAATAATATTTTTGTTTTGAAATACTCTAAGTAAAATTTATCTGGTCATTTTGTGAAAAAATGCAAAATCTTTGAACAATATTGGTCCACACTGGTCTAGTGGTTTTGGGTCAAAATCCCGACAGACAGAATCATAATCCCGACAGTCAAAAATAAAAATTCCGGCAATTAAAAACTCTGATAAAAAATATAATAGACCATAGTAACCCTAAAACTAATTAAACTATAAGATTCTATTTCGCTTTAAACATATCTCATACTTACCTAAAATTCTGGCGGTCGGGATTTTATTTGTCGACTGTCGGGATTTTGAATCGCACCCAGTCTGGAGCACGCACTTATTTGCGAGTAATAAAACCCTAAAAAGGAAATCCCAATCGGAGTGCACTATTCAGAAAGAACAAAATGTTAACGTCCTAATCCTAACTTCTATCTTTAAACACTTAGTTTATCTACAAATTCGATTTCCTTTCTTTGGTTTGTGTTACTTGCGCAAATAAGTAAACTGGGTCTAGAAAAGTGTAGGTTTGGGAATCAAAGGATTTTTCGATTACGAAAAGCATCGTCTCACACATTCCTTGAAAATAATTTTTTTTTTTTTTTGCCAGGCTATTTTCAGGCAGGAGACAATTTTATTATGATAATAATAGATGATGCACATGTTTAAGAAACAAGTAATTTGCCGAGAATGGCCAGAAACAGCAATGACATCACAAAAAATTGCAACAAATATTGCGCTGGGAGTCGTCGTGGGATTAATAAGCTGTGGTTCCCTGCCTTCCGCTGTGGGTAGAGAAATGGTAGAATCACGTGGTCGTAATTGTGATGGGTCGAGAAATTTGTTTCTGGTTTTCTTGATACGTACCAACGTATCTTTGCCTTTGGTTTATGATATTTATACGCTTTTGTTATTCTTGTCACAAACATTTGATGCTGATTGTTCCCGCATGTCGCTGCATTACCTTCATATGATTCTCAGCTTCAATCAGCTTCCTTTTTTGTTGTTGATTTTGTGATCGATGTGGTACCTATATGTCAATTGTAACGTAACACAAACACGAAATTTCAAAGCAACCGTTTGTTTTGTCAAAAATCGCTTATTTCTCAAAAGTTTGCGTAGAAAACCATCAATATTGCACCAATTAAAAGTTTTTCTTGGACGATTTACTATATAACTAACTTTGTTCAAAATGCTAACCCTGACATTAATAAACTTCAAAAAAATTGCCTGCGCCACATGATTGACATAACCTCCTAGAATTCAACAAACTTGCCTAAACTATATCCTTAATGATTGTCATGATATTGCGATGATTACTGGGTTAACTCTTCCCCCATCTCTAGAATATTCTTGCGACGCTATGGTGATCGCGTGATATAAAGTGTGGATTCAAAAAATTCTCGCCACATAGCACTAAACAAATGACGTCATGACATGTTTATCATGTGATCGTTGATCACGGTTAACAGTCTTAAATTGTCCCAAAATTTTTATGTCTTAAAATATTGTTAAATTTTGTTATAATAACAAGACATTTGATATATTCTAATAGAGTTTATACTAAAATGAATCTTACTCAGAGTTTAGATCTTGATTATGTACTTAGTCTGTATATTTATTGTACTATCAAACATTATGTACATTTATATTATAATTGCATTATTGATTTAATTTTTTTTTTTGGTATTTAGGTAACCTCTTTGGTTTTTTGATTTTAATAACATTTTTTAAATAATATAATTTCATAGAAACTATTACAGAAAGAGTATACAACTAGTTATATATGTAATTTTTCTATATTACCTATTTAAGAAGCTTGCTCAAAGAGTTTCCTACCAGTTGTTATAATTAACATTTCTGCTTGGATGTTTTATTTAAACCTTTTGAACTTATGACCTGTGTCAACTTTATTAAATTATTTAGGATCTTTGTCTCAATCTTAGAACTAATTTATTCTTAAAGTAAATCTTTCAGAACTTTTTGTATTTCTATTTACAACTGACTTGGGCTTATTATAGTTGAACTAATACTTGTAGTCAGGACTAATTATTAAACTGTTATACCCTTGTTAAGTTTATACAACTTTAGTACTCATTTTTATTATCTTACTAGTATCCTATCTATTCTTGCAAATTCTTCTATATTATCAATCCAATAAGTTTTAGATAATGTAATTTTATGCTTAGATCATTTAATAATTAGATTAGTAGATTTTTTTTATCTAAAAATTCTTGTCTATACAAGTTACCTGTTTCAGATTTTTTTTTTGAATCAAGATTTTCATAGATGGTATCATTAAAGATCATACTATCTCTTTATTTGAAATTTCTAAATAGGATATTTTATAAAGTATATACTTTCTAGATTTATTTATATGATATTGTAAATTCCCAAAGTTAGTCTTGATATAACAAAATTATAGGATTACAATCTCAGATATCTTGTTTAAGTTATTGAAATAAAATTATTTTTCAAAATTCTACTGTCAGTAAGATTTGAATTTTGGATCTAATATTTAGAGAATAACAACTTAACTATTATATTAGAATTGTTATCTATTATTAATTTGATTAATAATTTCTCTCTATATATAAGATACTAATTTATTGTTTATTCTCTAGTTATTTTTCTTGATATTATTGTATTTTGAACAACACTTTTCTTATTTTATATAATTAATCTTATTATCAGTTTCTAAAACAAAGTAATAATCAGAACAATAACTATAAGTCGGTTTCTATATAAAATATTATAAATTTAGTTTATATGAAAATATTATTATCAAAAATAATAAACCAAAAAAGAAGTTACTTGACAACTATCAAACCAAATATATAACTTGTTTATAAAAATTTTTAAAAATAATTTATTTTCTTCTAATAAAAAAAAATCTATATTATAAATACACATATATATAATAAACATATCATTTTTAAATTTTTTATAATAGATAGAAAGCTATAAATTATATATTTAGGAATTCTAAAAAAAATAATAAGCAGTTTATAAAGATATTTTACTACACTTTAAAGTATTATGTTTACTTGATAATTTATTACAATTTTTATATAATTCTATGCTAAAAGATACTAATAATAAAATATTTAATTTATAAAAGATCTTGAAATAATTTTTACTTAATAATTGAGTTTTTATACTAGATAGTTTATCTTTTATAAATATAATAAAGCTATCAAATACATTTTACTTATTGATTAATCTGTATCAGAATATGATAGAGTTTTCAAATTTGCAAAACTTAGAAATATATTAAAAAAGAAAAATATAAAAAATAAACTTGTTTATAATATTTTATATTATCAAAATATTATATCTATAATAACAAGTATTTTAGTTTCAATAAAAAAAAAGTTTTTTCTTATACTTATAATAAAAAATTTAAAATATATCTAGATTTTTTTTTGAAAATAATAATAGGAATTATTCATCCAATATAAGAAACAGTTTCTTTAATACAAAACAAAATATAATATTAATATTAATAGTTTTACACATTTTTGATTATAACTTTTAATACATCAAACAGATTGAATGAAACAATTATTACTGAATTCAGTTCACTAAGTTGATTTTAATAAGCATAAGTTTATATAATTCTGATTACAAGATCATAAAATTAGAATGATTTTGATAAAAGTACTAATTCTAGTACATATAACTTAATTCTAATTAACTTCTATTATTGTATCAGAAATCTAGTAAATATAGCAAATTCAGTATTTATATTAGATCTAATATATTTAATAGATCTAATAGATATTACATATCTATTATATTTATTATTTCTATTATATATACTATATCTTTTATATATTATATTTATTATATCTATTAGTTTTTATATATATATATTTTTTTTAAATATTAATGATGAGGCTATGCCTTTAACTTTATTGAAATCTATTGAAGTTTTTACAAAGAAAAGCTTTCTTTTAAATTACATATGAAGAATAAAGACTCAGACATATAATCTGCAACCAGTTTTTATATATCTTAATATTACCATATATAGCATTTATCAATAATAAAGTAATTTTTATTATAACAATTTATACATATAAAATATCTATAAAAGCATTACTTTCTAATGCTTTAAAAAAGTTAAGTGTCTTCATATATTTTATAATCAATAAACTGAATACAATATTTAGTATCTTTATATACTATCTATTGTTATCTCTGGCTTAAAATTTCAAATCACTTTGTATATTATTAAGTCTTACTGTAGATTCTGTATAAAATCTGACATGTTATAGTTATTATATTATAGTTAAACAACTTTTGTTATCACTGTGATTAAAGAAAAAACTACAAATTAATATTTTGGTAATAACTGTAAAATAAGTTCTCAATTTATTATAGATAATTAATTTTAGTTAGTTATAAAAAAACTTTGTTAATATTAGTCTGTTTGATCTAAATATGAAGAGTATATACTTAAAAAACTATTGCAACTTTTCTACTAAATGTATCTTAGTAAGAAATTCTTTTGGAATCTGTTATTCAATATTAAAGTAGTAATAATATTTTTGATCTACAAAGAATTTGCAAAAAACCTTCTTGAAAAAACATTTTAACTATTATTATACAAAATTTAAATATTTATATTACAATATATACTGAACTAATT